TAGTAGAGTTTGAGGTCAGATGATCCCACTTTTAATTAAATAATAATACCATCAAGCCCTTGAGGTTATCTGAAGACCACCCCGCACACCAGGTAACGGGAAACTCAGGAAAGATGATGGCCCAGGGCCTTCCAGGACAAGTGTCTTTCTGTCTCCTTTTCCCACAGTATCCAGGTGACTCTGGCAGCTGTGTCTGGGTCGTTTACGCGCAGTTTTCTTGAGAATTTACAGGGCTGGGTAGAGGGGAACGGCAGAGTCCCCTTACACAGGGCACTTCGCAAAGTGAGTCAGTCCGGATGGCATGGCCAGATTACTGTCACACCGCCTGTCATGGCTGTGTCCTGTGGAGAGCTGTCTCCACCCCATCCTGACCTCCTTGTCCTGGGCAGCCCGGGACATACCACCCTCACTCCGTCCCACCTTACAGGACTTATGGCTTTCGCCATTTCCCACGCGGCTCCGTGCAAAGAGCTAGACTCCAGTTCCTGTATTTTGGTATCTCAGGAAATAAGATTTGGGAAAGGAATGGAGGAATGGAGTGAATGTGGCGTAAAGGAGAAAAGAGGCCTGGTGGAGCCTCGATGGGCCCGCTTCCGCTTCCTTGGGGGGAAATGGGGAGATGTAACAATAAGTAATGTCTGCCAGAGAGGGTGGGAGGGCTGGGAAGGTACACCCGGAGTCTCTACGTGTGTGGAGGCTCAGCATTGTCGTGTGGGTCGCATGCTGTCAAAGTGCCAAAACACTTCAACTAGCGCATGCTGTCAGGGAACTGTCTGGAAGACTTCCTCGCTGAAATGTTCGGAAACAAGAGTCCATTTCTAGCTGTCTTCCTGACTAGCTTTTCTATGCATTGTTTTTCTTAATTGAAATTTTATGTTTTTTTGTAACCATGCTTTGTATATTTTTTGAAAGTAGGTCAGCTCAAATCCTCATTATTATTAAGTATTTAAAATAGGCTGGCCTTGGCATGGCATCTAGGCACAGTAACATGGATGTTAATGTTTGCATTTCAGAATATATGGAACCTGTGTATGTCTACAACCCTGGTGAGTATACACTTTTACAAACAGTCCAACAAGCATGTTTATTAGCTCTTTCCTGTGGGGCAAATGCACTTCCTACCCAAGCGAAGCTGGTACTTGGCAGATCCAAGAGGGAGGGAACCAGTGTATTCTGGGAAATACCCTCCTTCCCTGCAGCTGGTCGCTCTGTGGCCCTTGGAGCAGCCAGTGTTCTGGGGGGTAAGGGCCGGGGTACCCGAGGAGCTCACTCAAGGCCAGTCTGTGGGGCACCTGTAGCCCTATGTTCCTCTGTTGGAATTAGCACAAGCAAGTGACACCCACCTTCAAGTGGAAATTAAAATTCTCAGCATATGTGCCTCTCCCAGAGGCCAGATGTTTGATGCGTCCATCGAGCATCTTGAGCTAATTAGTATTACCATATAGGAAAACACAAGTTCAAGCCATCTTGAAAGTGTGCTCTGAGGTGTTACAACCTGTCCCCACAGAGGCAAAGCCGCTGGCTGGCCCACACCCTGGGGACGTGCCTACAGCGCCCCCTACTGGCCCTTTGCATTCACAAAATTCTGACCCTTGTACAGGACCTCGGCCAGCTATTAAGTCAGACATTGTTTCCTGTCTCCCAGGAGACTAGTAGTGTGGAGGCGCAGGAGAAGGGTCCCGCCCACTGCCCACATGCACTTGAACTCAGTGATGTGCCTCCTGGTCCTTTACAGTTCTTCTGCTCCCTTGGTAAAACTGATGCATTTTGCTTGTTTGTGACGTAGATCTGGAAAGTCAGAAGCTTGAAGACTCTGGTAAGACACTCTTGTAAACTCTGGGCTGTCACATTTGCAGGCTGTGAGCGGGTGGGGAGAAGTGGGGAGAAGCCAGAGCCCATCTTAGCTTACTAGTTTGATCTATGAGAGTGAATTCTTTGTAAAAACTATACAGCACCCCTGCCTGTTGTCACCCCAGAAAGCAGAGGAGAGTGTGGCTGGTTATTCCGCGAACTTTTGTGACCCAGAGTTGTTGACAAAACAAACAGCATTTATTTTCCCTAAGTTAAAATGATGATTCTTTGAATGTGTATCCTAGTAGTATGTGTACTCACGTTCATTTGATGAGTTCAAGTCCAAAGTGTAACTTACTCCAAGGTTTTTAATTAGAAAGGGAAGAAGGAAGGAAGGGAGAGAGGGAGAGAGGAGAGAGAGAGAGAGAGACAGAGAGAAAGAAAGGAAGGAAGGAAGGAAGGAAGGAAGGAAGGAAGGAAGGAAGGAAGGAAGGAAGGAAGAAAGAGAGAGAGAAACTATGGGCTGGAGAGATGGCTTGCTGCTCTTTTAGAGGACCCAGGATCGGTTCCTAGCATCCACAGCAGGTGGCTCACAGTTACTGTCTGTAATTCCAGTTCAGCAGCTGTGATGCCTTCTGGCCTCCACAGGTACCTGTGGACAAGTGGAACACATATACACACTCACGCACACACATATACCCACTCACACAATACATATACCCACTCACGCACACACATATACACACAGAAACAAATGTTTTTCTGTTTGAGTGTGTGCGTGTGCGTGTGTGCGTGCGCGTGTGCGTGCGTGCGTGTACATGCCTGTGGAGGCCAGAGGTTGATACCAGGTGTCTTCCTAGATCACTCTGTGTGCTGAGGCAGAATCTGTGAACAGGAAGCCCTCCAATTCTGCTAATCTGGCTAGCCAGCACGTTCCGGAGCTCCCATCTCCACCTCCCACACGCAAGGGTTATGGGCTGACCATGACACCCACCCGGCTAAGATGTGGGTTCTGGGGACCCAAACCGGTGCTCAGGCTTGTGGTGTATGGCAAGCACTTTGTCCAGCATGCCATCTCGCCAGCTGCCAAGTTTCTCTTTTTTAATAGAAATTGTTATTGTCTTCAAGTGCTAGGACAGTTTCAAGTTACTGAAGAAATTATTGGAATACTTTTCTATTTTCTTTTTTTTTCATGGTGCCTGGAATCAAACCCTGGGCCCCCTGCAAGCTAGGTAAGCACACTCTTGCTGAGATATTAAACCCCCCGCCCCTGGGACAAATTTTCTAGTGGTTGATCCAAGAGTATGTGTCACTAACCTTAAACGTGACTCTGCGTTTAACCGGTTATAACTTGGAAACCAGGAGAGCATAAATGTAAAGCTGTTGCTCCCTGTCTCGGCGGCGTGGTTAGAAAGGACAGCAGTGCCAGCAGAGGTTGGTTTTTTCAGGACTAGGCTTCCTGCACTCGAGAGGACTGCCTTATCACTGAGCTGTCTCAGCCCTCTGGATGTTTTAATTTTAAGACAGACTCTGAACAGAGCACGACAGTGCACACCTTTAACCCCAGCAGAGACAAGCAGATGCCTAGTATGAGTTCGAAGCCAGCCTGGTCTATACAGTGAGTTTCAGGCCAGATAAGGTTACCTAGCGAGACCCCGCCTGAAAACCAAAACAACAAAACAAACCCCAGACAGGGTCTGATTAGATTAGCTGGCCTTGAACTTTCAACCACAGGCCCCCCACCAATCCTACCTTTCTTTAAAAGAGGCTCCACAGAATCAGAAAGAACCCAGTTGTGGATGAGCCCTGACTCAGTGGCTCTGCCCAGCAGCTGACCGAACTCAGATAAGCTCTGGCCAGACCCTACTGGCTGACCAGTGGCCAGAGACCCAAGGCATTGTGCAGCTCGCCAGAGCACAGTGTGACATTCCTACATACACTACCCGTGCGGGGTGGGTACTATTAAACAACACTAACAGTATTAAACACTAAACATAGAAATGAGGCTTGAAAAAGCATTTAAAGATGCAAGAAAGCACTTACAATCCGATGTAAACCGTAAGAGCCGAGGGTCGGGCTCAGTAAGTCAAGGCTGGACTAGCATTCATGCAGACCTCCAGACGGACAGACACATGTACACACATGTGGATGGCAGATAAGAAAGGGTCATGGGAGAGGAATGTGATCAATGCATGCATGAAAAGATCATACTTGAAACCTATTTTTTATCACACTCTTTAGTGTGTGTACATATGTGTACATGTATGTGTGTCACAGCACATGTATGGAGGTCAGAAGACAACTTCCACGAAGTGGCTTCCCCAGGACTGAACTCAGGTGGCAGAATCTTGACCAGCTGAGCCATTTGTCAGCCAAAACTCATTATTTTGTACAATCAGTATAAAACAAAAAAGTGTGGGGGCACAATTTATAATCCTAGCACTTGGGAAGTTGAGGCAGGAGGATGGCAAGTTTGAGGGTAGCCTGGGATACACAGAAAGACCCTGTCTCAAAATTTTAAAAATCCAAACCAAAAACTTGAATTTGATCCCCAGTACCATATTTTTTTTTAAAGATATATAGCCGGGTGATGGGGCCAGCCTGATCTACAAAGCTAGTCTCAGGACAGCCAGAGCTACACAGAGAAACCATGTTTCAAAAAACAACAACAACAACAAAAAACCCCAAAAAAACAAACAAAAAGTTAAAAAATAACACAAAGTATCTATAATTAAAATGTATATGTGTATATATATGCAAAAAGATTCAAAGTAAATATACCAAAAAATGTTACAAAGTAATATTTGAGATGTGAGCTTTTTAATTAATTTAATCTCCAATTTTCCATTTCTACAGTTATCACGTATTATGTATATAACCAGAAAATATTATATAAAACACCATATAGAAGATAATGTATACATAATATTTATAGCACACACATATACACACACACATACAATACAAAATAAAAACTGTGTCAGAGACTTTGGACAGATCTTCACACTACCATTTCTGTGTGTGTGTGTGTGTGTGTGTGTGTGTGTGTGTGTTATGGGGGCACCCCCACATTGTAGCACACCCGTAGACAGATTTTCACACTACCATTTCTCTCTCTCTGTGTGTGTGTGTGTGTGTGTGTGTGTGTGTGTGTGTGTGTGTGTGTTTTATGGGGGCACCCCCACGTTGTAGCACACCCGTGGAGGCCAGAGGACAACTTGCAGAAGTTTTCTCTCTTCACTGTGTGGGTTCCAGAGTTGAGACTCAGGTCGGCAGCGGGGGGCAAGTGTCTGAGCCTGCTGAGCCGAACTGCTGGTCCTGGACTGACTGACTGATCTTAGGGAAGGATCCCTGCTGGCCCTGGACTGACTGACTGATCTTAGGGAAGGATCCTCTGCTTACCCCAGGTGCTCTCCGAGTGGCGAGCCATAGTCCTCCCTGTGAACTAAGCTTCAGTGTTTAATGGCTCTGCCCTTCTCTTGTCATTTTGAAACATTGTTTCTCGAAGCTTTCTAAGCTTTTCACTACAAAGAGTCCAACATAAACCTAAATTAATTTGGAAGCTGAAGACTTCACCTCACTTTGTAACTGGATCTCATGGAGCCCAGGCTGCCCACTGACTTGCTGTGTAGTAGAGAATGGCCCTGAAGTCCTGATCTTCCTGCCTCCACCTCTCAAGACTGGGATTCCAGGCACCAGCTCCCTGACTCTACCCTCACCCCCACCCCCACCCCCAGTACACATACAAGAAAGCTCTTATGCTTAGCTTTAGAAATAAAAAGCTAGGGGCTAACCTGGCAAATGAATTCTCTTTTACTCTGTCAGATTAGCTACCAGGTTATGATTAAGCCTCTATAGGTAGGACATTTATCACTTTTGAGAGTTTTTTTTTTTAATGCTCTGTGCAGCAAACCAAGCATTTGATGTAATATTTTCCATTCTCACTTCATATAATATGCAAGCTATTTCTTTTGCATACTCAAAGACTTCAAAGTCAGAGCTAATACCTACAATGAGACGGGCATACAAGCAGAGACTTCAGCCCAGTACGGTTTCATTTTAAAACGATTGACCACGTCAGCTAAACGTGGGGTGATGAGAACTAAATCGTAGATGCTCCTGAAATCTCGCTTAATGTTGCTGTTACATTTCTGACTTACCTGTTTAAAGTTTGGAGATGGGAGACAAAGGGGGAATGTTAGCAGTGCCACTAACTGATAACCACCACCAGCATTTATTTCTGCCTTTAGGTAGGAAAAGCTTCGGATCGACTGGCATACCAGGTAAGGTTGTTTTCTCTTTACTAAGAGCATTACAGCCGATGCCAGGGATGATACTCGAAGGTTTCACTTAAGTCTCGTGCTAGTCATCTCTACGGCTTTCTCTGGGGAAGACCATAGACTGTGCCCACCCAGCCTTCCCAGGTTGCTGGGCCACTGGCTCCGGGGCAGGACAGCTAAGCTCTTCGGAACACGGTTCAGGGCCCGCTTGCTGGGACCTGCCTGCAGGGGTCCAGGCCTTCCTGAAGCTCTGTAGACACACTTGGACAGGCCAAGCATCCAGGCTCACGGCTGTTCTGGGACCTGCAAGTAACAAAACACGGTCCTCTGCTGGTGCAGACACAGCTCAGTGAGGTGCTGTCCACAAGCTCCCCGAGTTTGGTGTGGATGTGCCCAGTGAGGGCTCATGGAGCCAGAGCTGCGCCACCCTAAGTCTGAAGCCATAGTGCGGTGGGACCCTGGGGTGGTGTCCAGTGCTCATGACGCAGAGCTCAGGAGCAACCAGAGGCCACTTAAGCTCTTTTCTTGTTTAGGAAAGAAAACTGCAGGACCTTTTCTACTTCCTGGTGGGCAATAGTAGGCACACCCAAGGGCAAGAAATGCCAGCGCAGGGATAGAGACATACCTGTCATCATTACACACGTGCCAGGAAGTCTTTGCACACGATCGCATGCGAGTGAAGGACCGGGGTCTTTTACTGTTCTTTCCTCAATGCTTGCATTTCCTTGGTGTTTTCCACTGTATTTACCATGGCAGATGCCACCTGCCTTTCGCAGCAGCCATGAACCAGTGTCGTTTTAAAAGTGTGAGGGCTGGGGGCGGGGGGTGACTTATTACAGACGAGCCACTTCCTGCCCTGAGATGACTCAGATGGATTCGATGGGAGGGGGGGGGGGGGGGGGGGGGGGGGGGGGTGCCAAGCACTGAGGGGCTGAGCGACTGTGATCGGAGAAATGGAGCTGAGACTCTAGGAAGAGTCCTCAGAAGTCCCTCGGCACTTTATGCTGACGGGGGAGGGACAAGAGGGCACATTTTCTCCCCCTGCTCAATGGTCTTGATGCCTCTGTGCCTCAGAACCGCCATATTCCAAATGTGACCACCTTGTCCTAGCAACTTCACGGGAATATTGGTAAGGAGTATCTAACAACCAGTTCGTAATATCCTTCCCCTGGGTTCATTCAGTGATTTGAAACTTTTTTTTCCCCTATGGATTTTGTTAATTACGGGCATGGTTATTTAGTGGGATTGAACCTAGGGCTTATGCATGCTAGGCAAGTACCCTACCACTGAGCTACATTCCCAGCAAGTTTTGCCTGTGCTAAAATCACATCCATGGTTCTGACCACTCTGGACACTGCTGTCTGTTTTAAACAGTAGGCCATGTAGAAACAGCATGCCACAGCTAGCTCATAGAACAGACACACAAAGCAGGTCCAGCAACTGTTTCCTACGGATCCAGATCGGCATCGTTCCCCTTACATCACTTCCGGTCTTGGGGTCTGAGTTTGCACAGTGCTCTCCCAGGGGTCTTCACAGTCTACTCTGTGGCCGTGTGAAAAGCAGCTTCTAAGCGGGGTGTGGAGGACACATGTGAGCTGTGCAGACAGACCTGGCATTGAGTCCCCCTCTGCTGCCTGCCTCTGGTAACTTTGTGCAATGACTGACTTTATCCCAGCATCCTCCATTGTAAGGTGCGGACGGTTCTACCTTTCAGGGCTGAGGATCTGATATCACAAACCATCCAACAGCAGTAAAACAGTGCATAGAAGCTGCCTTTTTTTATTAACTGAAAATCATTTTCTCATTTAGAAATTAAAGTGCTACAACCAGATGAAAACCTTCTCCGGCCAGATGAAAAGCCTGGTAATTCTTCATGGGGGGAGGCGCCTGGAGTTCTAAGTTCTTTCTCATCATCATTCAGACAGCTCAGGGTCTGGGGGAAGTCACCTGGGCTGTACAGTTCTGACATACCATCCTGACGTTAGAATGGGCAAGCGCTGAGAACTCATTTCCGTGTGCACAGGTAGCTAAAGCCTAGACGAGGGTAGGTGGCCTGATTCCGGACAACGGTGTCCAGCTGCACCTGTATTCCAGAGCGAGTCAGGAACTGGGCCCAGGGTGTCTGTAGATGCAAGAATACACTGTGCGAGGTGGAAATGAGAACCCGCAGCCCTGCAGGACCCGCTTTTGTGTGTCAGCATGCCTTCTCTTTCTGCGAGAGCCAGATTTCCTGAGGAGACGATGCCTTGCGTCTCTCCTGGAAAGATGATGCGTTGTAGTGCAGGCTGTTTAAGGCTTGACTCATCGAATCCAGCAAGGTAGATGCTGTCGTTGCACAGCAAGATTAGGAATCTGGCGAGGGCAGAAAGAGACAGCCAGGCTGACACTCATCTATTCTGGACTCCTGAGACACAGCATTTAGATTTAAGATTATGAAGATGTAGCCGGGCGTTGGTGGCGCACGCCTTTAATCCCAGCACTCGGGAGGCAGAGGCAGGCGGATCTTTGTGAGTTCGAGGCCAGCCTGGGCTACCAAGTGAGTTCCAGGAAAGGCGCAAAGCTACACAGAGAAACCCTGTCTCAAAAAACCAAA